ATGGAGCACCCACGCCATCCTACTAAGCTAAGCTTCATGTCAGTCTGTCACTGCTCCACACTCACAGTAAAAGTCAAAGTCCTTACCATGACCACAGGGGCCCTGGTCTGCCCCCCAGTATCTGTCATGACACCTCACTCATCTGCTCCAATCACACTGGCCTCTGCACTGTTCCTCGAATAAGCCAGTGTCGCTGCAACGCTGGTCTGCTCAGGCTGCTCCTGTTCCCCTGCCGGTAATCATCAGCACTGAGAGGTTCGTGAGGCACCTTCCCTTCCCTCCTCTGCCAGACCACTCTTCTTCAAGGTGACCTCACCTGAATTCTTACCGTATCCTGCCACCTGCCTCACCCCTTTCTCAGACCCCAGCACCCTTTGTTTACCTAACCTGTTCTTCCCGTAGTACCTATCACCTTCTAGCACCATGGAAAATGTACTTACATATTATGTCTGCCCCCCACTTGCCAGAGTGTAAACTCCAAGAGGGGAGGAACCACTGTTTGGTGACAGGTGTAGTCCGAGTATCTGGAAAGCACAAGGCACATACCAGGTCCTAAGTAAATGCTGAATGAACAAATGACTAACACCTCCCCATGCTCACAATACTGAAGGCATGAGGTGAGATGGGATGGGGAAAGTGGAAGGCTCCAGCCTTCTCCTCCTCCCTGGTCCCCCTGTTTTCCTCCCTCATACAGGGCACCCCAGTTATGCTGGTCACATTTTCTATTCCTTGAATTCTCCAAGCACCTTTATAACATAGGACCTTTGCATATACTATTCTCCCTGCCCAGAACATTCTTCACACCTTCATTTAGTTAATTTATACTCTGCAAGTTTTAGCTTAAATGCCATTGTTATTGTATCTCACAGGTTGGCACTGAGTGAGTGCCCAATAGATACATATATTTCAACATATATTTTTAAAAGATTTATTTATCCGTGCATACAAGAGTTGGGATGTAGGCCAGAGGTGTGGGGGCGAGGGGGGTGGGGAGAGGATTCATCATAGACAGAGTGGAGAGCAGAACAAGCAGAGCTAATATAATAAACTGCTGAGGGTATTATACAGGCAACACAGGAGAGGTCTGCTGTGCTCTGTGGGTCACCTCCCTGGCCAGGGAGAGAACTCGTGCTGCAGTGGCTGGTGATAGCTTCATAGTGGGGAGAATTAACAGCTTTCGCCACAAGAAAGGTCCTCAAAAAATACATATTTTTAAGATTTAGTTATTTATGCATACAAGAACTGGGGTACTGGCCAGACGTGTGGGAGTGAGAGGATTCACCAGAGATAGAGTGGGGAGCAGATCAGGCAGATCGACTGAAATACACTGCTGAGGGGAACAGTGGGCGAGATAGGAGAGGTCTGCTGTGCCATGTGGGTCAGCTCCCTGGTTGGGGATTGAACTTGTGCTGCAGTGGCTGCAGATAGCTTCATAGTGCTATGCTTAACCACTTGTGCCACCAAGGAGGCCCTCAAATATATATATATATATATATATATA